TATTGACAGCTTTTGTCTTGAGCTAAGATGTGTGAATCTTAATAATTACTTTTCATTGTTCTGATTACTAATGGTATTAACTATGGCGTGCCTTAACCGATATAAAAAGCCCAGTTTACAAGCAGGCAGGGAGGTACAGCGGAGGGGCAAGAGAGACCCGTAGAGGCTGAGAGGTCTCCCGGACCTCGGGAGAGGGTCTGCCCTCGACACCAGGAAGAGCGGTCCTGTGAGGCCGAGGGGAAGCAGCTATAGCTAGACGTATTTTTACCGAACCAAATGATGTTAATTTAATAGCAGGAAAACGAGTTTGCGGCAGTTAATTCCGTCTCCGTGGACTGTGAACGATTGGTTGGTATCTGAGTCATCTACCTAAGTTAGGGTATATTAGATCACTTTGAAGTTGCTGCATTGGTGGGCTGGAACAGCAAGAAAACACATTTGCGGGAAGGGGATTTCCTTCGCCTCTCGCAGACGACCGGAACTACCGTCTGTAAACCGAAATGTTTTCAGGCATTTCAGATTTTGCCCTTCTAACATTCATCGACTCGTACGCCCTCCCCCCACCATTTACTAAACCAAGCATATCATTGTTTTATAGTAGAGAATAACTAACATCAAAGTTTACTGTATTACAAGCTATGGTGGGAATTATCAACTTCTATAATCAGAATATTTCAAGTGGAATGAAATGAAATGGATTTTAACGTCCTACTGTACAGCTCCGACTGGGCTAATGCAGTGTGCTATAAGATAAATTTTGTTCGGACAGAGGCTCTACGGCCTACTCTTATTTCAAATTTCAACCCTCAAGGGTTCTTTTACGTCACGCCAATGTGTACGTGAAACCTCACCCCAGTTTTTCATCCCATCCAAACGACTATAGTTGTCCTACACCACTGACAAGTTAGCGAGTTAACGCCTTACTCACTGAACCAACGTGGCTTCCATGTGGAATGAATCAGAATTGTAACAAATATTAACATAACCTATATTGTACAAGTGATGTATTTATTTATAATGGGTATAATGAACTTCTATTCAAGTGAAATGAATCAACATTGAAACACCTGCTATCATAAGACGAGTAATATAGTATTTTATGACTAAACGAAGTATCATAACATATAATTAATTGATCAAAAGTAGAGGTCTAATGATATTGTAATGATATCAGTCAGATATATAATACATGATATACTAATGATATTTATTTTAGCTTGTAATATATTTATTCACAGAATATAATTATACATTATAATATTTGCAGTATTTTATAATTTCCACACCTTTAATTTATTTTTTACTTATTCACTGTTACTATATAAGACACACAGGCAAAGTAAAATACAGTAATATACAATAATAAAAACAGGTATTTTTGATTATTTATAATATGTATAGGATAAGAGTTGAGTATGTATAAAAGAGTAAAAAGTAAAATATAATATATACAAATAAAATCTTTACCTGTATTTTGGACACCTATACAATAGAGCGATACAGATTTTAAGTACATTTATTGTCAATGAGAAAACCTGGTTTTAAATACTAATTATAAATTTCAATGTTTCAGTTATTGCAATATTTGATGACTTTACGTCTAAATGAAGATTATACATAGAAAAAGAATTGCATTAAAATAATTTGCAGATATTTTCTAATAAACAGGTTTGCAGTAGGATTTTGGAGTGCAGAGGTTTTTGGCTATTGAGTACATAGTGTCTATCTGAAAATATGCTTTAAATTTTAAAATATGGCTCTTAATGTATCAAAAGTTACTATATTTCGGATGGGAAGAAAAAACCTAGGCCCTGTGTTCACGTTGTCGGGCATTTAAAAGATTCCATGACAATAGGAATTCGAAATAAGAGTCAGTTCTGCTGTACGGGCAAAATTTCACTTATAACACACTGTTTGTCGTATATTCCGTCTTCATTAGCCCAGTCAGTGCAGAACAGTAGGACGTTAAACCTTATTTCATATCATTTCACTTGTCTACCTTCAACTTCACCACCCCTGCATTGGCCGAGAAAGTTCATAAAGATTTTCCGGCGTGGTTTCCCCTTGTCAGTGGTGCAGGACGGTGGGGGGGGTGCTGACAAGGACAGCTGTCTAGTCGTTCGGATGGGACGAAAAACCGAGGTCCCGTGTACAAATTGGCGTGCACGTAAAAGATTTGGAATCAGACTGACAAGTGTTGTTTTTATAGGCTCCCCGTCCCCATTCTGCACCAGTGACTAGGGGGAACCCCTGCGGAAAATCCATGTGAACTTTCTGGGCCAGTGTAAATCGACTGGCCTTGTCCAATATCTGCTACTGCACCACAGACAAGACACAGAAATCACAATTTACAACAAATGTACATATCAGACCAATTGAATGGATTCAGGAGGTGGGAGAGAGAGAGAGAGAGAGAGAGAGAGAGAGAGAGAGAGAGGGTTTAACGTCCACTCACTAGGTCATTTGGGGACTAACATATGGTTCCATTATATTTCAATAATTCGCTTGCACGTAGGGGTCTTTAGCAGTGGGAGGAAATCAGAGGACTCGGAGAAAACCACCGATGGTTGGCGGGCGACCCTACTCCTTGTCACGTACAACTGGGGACTCGAAACCACACCACTTGACTCAATGACAGACCTTATGATACAACACGCACACGTTAACTGTTCGGCCATCCAACTCCCCTGTACAGTCCCTGGACTGTAGTGATACAGACAACAGACTTCACTCAATATGAAAAAGATAGGTTGCCAGGCAACGAAACACACGCCCACAGCATCTAAATCGTCCGGGCAGTCAACTATAGTTGTCGCATATTTTTACTTTTTTTAGTAATGAAACAATTATAATACACTAATATCCGATTATCAGAAAATCATTAGAATTTGTTTGGTTTGTATAAAGTTCTGCCCCATGCTAACATTTAGTATACAAAACATTTAATACCATGGATTTAGCTGTTCAAGTTATCAAAATTCATTGAAAATCAATATACATGTACTTGTTCATCTCAAGACTTTAAACTGAAGCCAATCCGATGATAACTTTAGCCTCTAGACAGTCACAAGATTTTTCAAAGTGATCAAGGGTCATAACTTCGGCAGTAATTATCAGAAATCGTTGAAAATCAATAGGATTCATCGTCTCATGACCTCAATCACTGTATAAATTTAAAGTCAATCGGATATCATCTTTAGCTTCTAGAGCATCCACAAGATATTTTGAAGTGATCAAGGGCCATAACTCTGGCAGTAATTATCAGAAATTGCTGAAAATTATTCGGCTTCTTTGTCTCATGACCTTAAACAATGTGTATAAATTTAATGTCAATCGGATATTTACTTTGGCCTCTAGAGCGTCCATAAGCAATTGTGGACGCCGCACCGACGAATGGGCGGACAGACGGGGTGACACAATTGAATATATGACCACATTTCAATGTAGGCGTTTAAAAAACAAACTAAGAATAAGGGGGAATATTTCCCAAAAGTTATATAAAGCCAGTACGAGTCATGATCGACTATATGCTACATGAAATATTTAGGCACATTGAAGGTATTAACGGCTCTTTATAAATCATATTTCGTTTCATGTTTTTTAATAGTACAAAATTTTGTTTTCTTTTCTTTACTACACTGGAAGAGTTGTTATGTAACAGGCGTTCTAGTTGATGTGAGAAATTAGCTAATGAAGCGGTCTGTTACGGCGAGTTCTTGGCGTGATCTTCACGGAACTGTGGGTAAACCCCTAGAAAGGTTAAAGCTGATTGATTAATCAATGTCTTTCATAGGGTCAAAAGCCGTTTGTATGACACCTGACATGACCTCCCAGTACAACTGGTCAGATCTTCATGTAGTGTAAGCCGATTCCTCTGCCCCCTCTCCAAAAAATCCATACGTGCATGTGAATTATTGAAATATAATTGAACCAAGTGTTAGTCCCGAAATGAACAATTATGTGAAATTTACAAAGAGCCAAATTAAATCTAAAAGGCGTATGTAGTAGTCATTTTTGGTGTATTTAAGGAAATTCATTATTAATATTAATTATGCAAAATATATGTAAACAGGGAAGGGATTGCGGGCGAATTCTGATATTTTGAAAGTGAATTCCGGTGTTTATATGTTTTTAAAAGTAAATTCCGGTGATCATCGGTGTTTTTAAGTTATTTATTATTAATATTAATGCAAAATATATGTACAGAGGTAGGCCTTGGGGTCAAATTTTGATATTTGCAAAGTGAATTCCGGTGATTTAGTATCCGCTCAAAATCTAAACAAAACAACTCGACGCAGCCAAATGTTGACAACTGGTTTGCTTCTTTCAGCTGACGGCAAAATTCGTAATTTTCAGTTACCTGCACTAGTAACACGTTAAACTTACATATCATATTTATTTTTTTTCTCAAAATATTTTTTTACTGTTGATTTTTTATTAACGAAATTTCCAAAAACTCTACTGCAAACCGATAAACAGAAATTGACCTTTTGAACTCTAGCAAATTCAAATTTGAAACACAGAATTTCACACGAAACGAAATTTATCTATTTTTCAGTTATTTTCAATATTATGTCATTGTAGTTATCTAATGTTGGCCTACCATGCCCAAAAATATTCACATTTGGTTAAATGTGCCGAAAGGACATGGTGCCGAAAACACTGCAACATTAAGTATATAAAATTATATTTCGTTTCGAGTAAAATTTATAGGAAGATAGGCACAAAGGGTTAAATCTAATTAATAAGGACAACTTCAAGTTTGGCAAAAGGTCACGAGATGTAAACAGGGTTAACGCTAATCTCAACCCTAACCCTTACCCTGGACCTAGCCCTAATACTGAATCTAACCCTAACCAACAATCACACGCTCTACTTATTACATCTCAGCGACATCGACGAGAATTGAGTTGACCTTAAGAATAAGATCTAGCCATGGCAAATCTAGTTTCATTTTGTTAGCACAGTTTTATTTATTTGGTCACAGACCACTAAAGATTTCCACATTCACAATGTTAATTCTTGTATCTTAGACAGATGGAGCAAAATGTGGAAACCCCTTGATTTACTTCATTCTCAGCCAAGTTATCATTGTTTGTCCATAGGCGTACGACCTGGGGGGGGGGGGGCGCCCCCCCCCCCCATTTTGGGCACCAAATGCTGGGAAAATTTGGGCACACAATTGTACTTTGTAAAAGTTGTATAAAAAATAGTGTGTTCTTCAATGTGTCCAATTTAACAGCGAATTTAAATTCAGAGTGTCTATAGTTAGGCAATTAAATAGAAATCTGAAGACTCATACCCTCTATTGTTTGGAGTACAGTAAGCCACGAGTTACAGTTACATAAACAACTGTTTTTAGTTGTGTATATTACAAGTTAATAAAATTTAGTTCTCTTTTAGTAATACTATTTATAACAGCGTAAGCATTTTTCATAAATCCCGGTTTTCTCATATTCTAGTAGTAAATTTATTTTATATTTTCTATCTATCAGGAAAATGGGTACAGAAAATCTGCAGACGCCTGCAAGAATCGCATAAAGAATATGAAGCATTCTTATAAAAAAAATAAAGGACCACAACAATAAAAGTGGGAGTGGCAAGAAAACTAGCAAGTTTTTTGACGCTATGGATAAAATATTAGGAACCAGACCCGCTACCCGTCCAACACATATTCTGGAGACAAGTATTAATTCAGGTAAGCGAACATGTTATTGTTATTATATTGTCAGGAGCAAGACTAAATCGATGCGATAGTTGGCAGGCAATATAAGCCTACAAACATGGGATCAAACTCACATATACACACAAAACAAATTAAATCAAATTTTTTTGCATAATAGCCATTGGAGAATTAGTGTTTTAAAATCAAAACTTATGGAAATTATATAATGGTATTTTTTTTAATTTTTTATAGAAACACAAGATTTGGATGATTTTGATGATGATGATAATGATGAGGAACCAACAAGAGTCAATTTGGAAAATGAAGAAAATGAGCCTACAGAAACCGTCCTCCGTAAACAGCCAGAAAAAAAAGGTTCAGTTGCTATTTATTCTAAATGGTTATCAATATTTGAAAAGAGTACAACACTGGAGCTGCTTTCTGTCTAAGAACGTGGTAAACCGGTCACTAATTCCTTCTGTGATTCAATATAAATTTTAAAAAATGCTAGAATAACATCCCACTGAAAACTAGCTGTACGTATAGATGAGTGTTGTGCAGGACAAATGGTATGTTTACTGGTTATAAAGTACACGGAACATTTGATTTTGTATCCCAATCAAATTAGAAAATGAAATGAAATGGGGTTTAACGTCCTACTCTTCTGCACCTAACCTGGGCTAATTGAAGACGGGCATACGCCATACAGTGTGCTATGAGGGAAATTTTGCCCGGGCAGCGGCGCTACGGCCTACTCTTATATCGAATTCCAACTGCCAAGGGATCTTTTAAGTGCACGCCAATGTGTACACTGGACCTCGGTTTTTCGTCCCATCCGAACGACTAGACAGCTGTCCTTGTCAGGCCCTCCGTTCTGCATCACTGACAAAGGGAAACCACGCCGGAAATTCGAGATGAACTTTCTCGGCCAATGCAGGGATCGAACACCTGACCTCCAGGCTAGCGAGCCAGCGTCTTACCCACTTAGCCACGTGATCCCCCCAATCAAATTAGAAATTATAGGTGTTCAAAAAAGTCATACCTGTGACAACGCCCTTAACTACTTTATATAGCTATTATTTACCTAAAGAATTTTGTTTATGATTTTAATACATAATAAGATCGGATTCAAAATAGTGTAGCCATGAATAGGTAAAACAAAACAGAAGAGTGACTTAATAAGGTGTATACCTATATGGAAATAAAATGCAGGACTTGAAATGTTCTCTGACAGGTAGTAAGTAGGTGGACTAAATTTACTAATGTTCAGGAAATTGACTCCAGACCACAATAGGCCTACTCATTATGATGTCACATTTATTTAATTATTCCTTTACAATATGGTTATTTTTGGTACATGCCTGACCTCCAGGGACAGAACCACGCCCAATTATTGTATAAGAACTTTAACACACCATCCACACAAGTTTTCATCTATAGCATTTTGAAGTATCTACACAGAAGTACATGTGTAACGGCACCATGGTAAATATTGTGGTTGTTTTTGGATAATTAAGAGTGACAGGTTAGTTACTGAAGGGATATTTCGAGGCCCGAATTGTCAATCATTGTTCATTTATTTAAACATTAAAGAGTTATTTTATTTACTTACAGGACAAATACATGAATTTTATTTGTCATTCCATTTTACCATGGCTCAAGTTTTAATAAATTTATTTCCATGTTTTAATTATTAATATCCATATCATTATCAAATGTGTCATGAAGCTGATATATGTACTTGGTTGTGAAAGTTAACTGTAGTTGTAACACGTTTTATGTGATTTCAGTTTTTATGAATTTAAATTACCAGTATGAGATTAATTGTTTCAATGGCATTTAGCAATTGAACTGGGAATACACAGGACAATCCTTGTTTATATCTAAAGCAAAGTTTTGACTTGGCTTCTTATCGTTATCAAATAATGCAAAACGGTATGAGGTGGGTGTTTTCTTCTTTGTAAGTCAATTGATAAGCCCCTAATAAGAACAAAACAGTCTGTTATGTTTTCAAAAATGGTAAATTCTCTTTTATTTAATACATTAATTGAAAGACATAAATTAAAAATTGATCAATAACTTTATAGTGTAGGCTTGTACAGTGGACTCGGAATATTCCGAATTATTAGACCAATCTGGGGACCCCCGTTAAACGATTTCTGTTGAATTAACATTGGATAATCCGGCCTTCAATCAGTGGGTGTTAACCGACAAGCAATCAATTATCGGTGAGCTTAAAGTATGTGTCAGTCTTTGTTAATAAAACCTTGATAATTTTATAATTTCTTGTAAGAGAGTGCTTGGTATTTCATTTGATTTTTTCACGTCAAATACAGCAACATTAAATATAAATTGCTGAGATGAAGAATCACTATCATTATAATATTTTGTTCATAACGACGCACAAGTGTTTTGTACGCACCCAAAGTAAAAACATAATAATTTTATATAATAAAGTTTCAAATGTACAGAAAGGTTTATCATATTTTTAAGTTCTGGGTATTCGAAGGTGCATTAAAATAATACTTTGGTATTCGAGGTACAATAATACTTGCGGTTTTGAGACAATTAAGTATTCCGTCATGGTGTATAATCTGGCATTGTATCGGTCCTGTACAATGTTGAAAGTGAAAGAGTCCACTGTATATTTTAATTACATACACTTCTTCAGTGATGGACAACAAAGATGACAATTGGACCTCTTATTATATAATCCAACTCTGGCTTAATGAGATGCATGGATCAAAAATCAAGATGCCAAAAGGTGTCAATTTAAATTCTGTATCCAAATACCTTTAAATTAGTATGTGACTTAGAAATATGCTTGGAATATTTAAATTTGAATGTACCATAATATTACTTTTAAGAAAGAAGATATTGAAAATTTTGGAAACAAATTGAACTCCATAGCAACCATTTGGCCAGAGCTGATCACATATATAGTTATAATAGACCCACTGTGTTATAAGATTATCAGTTATTTTTCTGTTGTATGATTTTTATTATGAAAATAAACCAATTTAGTTTGACCATTTTTTAGTTTTCTGCAAACACACAAAATGAAACAATAAAAGTAAACAAAAGATGGCATATACACATAGAAATTCTTTGTAGTGAGTGTATGTAACAGTATGGCCAATTATTACTTTCTTAATTATTTGTTTTGTAAGGTTAAATTATTCCTGGAAGTATTCAGCCAGGATATTTCTAATGTTAGTGCAGTCTGCATTAATTGCCTCTTCGTTACTTTGATTTGGCTGAGGCATTTAGTTTTCTCCCTTTGCTACATCCTCTAGCCATTCAACCCTAAATGGGTCTTTTGCTTGTTCGCATATGTTATGAAGTATGCAACAGGTCATAATAATATTGGGGACCTTGTCAACATTCATATCCAATCGCTTTAATAAGCAGCGCCAGCGACCTTTTAGGCGACCAAAGGAATTTTCTACCGTCATGCGTGAACTACTTAGCTTATAATTAAATGTCTTTTGTTTTTGGGTCAGGTGACCATTGTCTGTGTATGGTTCCATTAGAAAGTTGGATAATGGATAATCCGGATCACCTAACAAGACGATAGGCAGGCGCACATTATTGACATCAATCATCTTGCCGGCAAATAATGTCCCAGACAGCCCTTTTGCATATATTTTGGAGTTTGCATAGACTCGTGCATCATGAACACTTCCTGGCCACCCGATATTTAGGTCTGTGAATTCATAACGATCATTCACAACTGCTTGAACAATGATGGAATACCACCCTTTTCTGTTATGGAAGTCAGCATGGTTCATGCTCGGTCCTAATATAGGAATATGACTGCCATCTATTGCTCCACCTGCATTTGGAAATCCCCATTTCGACCGATACCCATTTACAACTCTATTCAGTTCTTCACCTGATGGAAATTTAATGAATTTGTCCTTGATCGAAATCAGGGACTCACAAAATATGTGTATAATTGAAGACACGGTTGACCGGCCAACCCCAAATAATGCAGCCACAGTTCTGTACTCAGCATTGGTCCCTAAAACCCATAAACTTATGCCAACCTAAAAAAAAAAGGGTTACCATACTTTAAATGGGAGGGGTAGAAGATTGTTCTCACTATTTCCAATCATTTTAGTTCAGTGATAAAATCTATTATTCAGTCTAGTATTAAATTGACAAAACTAGATTTGTTTTTTACTAAGGCCATCTACATGTACAAACAAATATCTACTTCCAATCCAAATCAGTAGGCGGCCAACATAGAAAATAATAGTATGTGTTGCATGTTCTTATATTCTCCAAGCAGAAGTGAATATCTCAACCAATACAGCGATCATAAAATGCAAAATAGCCTACCTGTCGCTCAATAGATATTGGTTCCCTCATACTTGTTACTCAAGAAATGGTCTCAAAATTCTGCACAGATATTCAAATGTACATTTTGACATTCTGAGGTTTCCAAATACTGTATATCATCATAAAAGCTGAAAATAAAATGTAAAGGAATTAGATTAGGTAAATAATTAAACTTAAAGTAGTCAATATCATCCAAAATCTGCGACATTGAAAACACAAAGTATTTGTCAATTTCAATCAACATTGATCTTGTGATCTTAACGGGGAAAAGATGGGTTTCTGATATCCAATATTTGAGACAAAACAAACATTTAACCATTGGTACACGAATTGTGTAATGCATTTCAGTGTCATTTGTAACAAGGGACTAGAAGAACGAGGCTAGACATATTCCCACAAGTCATATTCTTATCTGGAGAGCATGCACAATAAATACTATCAGTGTAGACTGGAATAACCAGTTGCTAGACATTGCCATTCGATTTAGACATCTAGAGTATTTCGACGAATATAACTAATTAGAAATTATGTGTTGCGACCCATTTGTGTCAATTTCTAGATCCCAAATATTAACAATTTAGCTCTTTTAAGCATGCAACTATTATTATTCGAAATTAAAAATTGTCTATATGGCACATATAATAGCACAGGCCTATTTGTGTGAAGATTGTTTTGTTTTTTTAGGTTGTTTTTTTTTTTTTTTGGGGGGGGGGACGTTATATTTTCTATAAATATTTAATTGATGACCCCTTGGTTAATATTTGTTTTATACACCTTGTCCGTGTACATATTTGACTACATTATAATGATTATAAATTTTAAAACAATATATATGAATATATCAAACCAAACCTGTATGCGTGATTCCACCAATTGTCACTGTGATACCGTGACCATATTCTCCTGTTGGTTGGCATGAATATCACAGAAGTGACACTCATTAGCATCAGAAAGAAGTACCTTTGTTGACTCTGTCGTTGTCTAAACTGTTTAATTCTATGTCTCAAAGCATTAGTATTCATTTCTAGGAAATGTGTATAAACTATCCGAGAGTAAGAGAAACAAATTTCGCGGATTTTTTTTTCACAGGATGTTTACATATTCTACCAGGAAATGGTATGTACGCATGCATAGTTAACTCTAACCTCCGACCGAAGAGGTCAGAATAGTTAAACAGGTTTGACTTATAGTACGTGTGAACGCAACACGACGCTGTCTTAAAAACCCCGGCGATTTTGAACTGGTTTAAAAATAAGCGTATGAACGGGGTATTAGTCACGTACATGCGTGAACCGAATCCACGCCAATTGACTCTATGGTAGACGTTACTCACTGAGCCACCGCGACTCCCTTGATATTATAATACTTGATATAATATCAAGGTTAATTTACGTCCGCTTCCATTGAGATGATACGGTAATCGAGTAGTTTCCTAGTAAGATTGGGCGTCTAAACTTTTCATATATCATGTCATACTGTTACTGGAAATAACCACCTGATAAATACATTTGTGACAATGTATCTTTAATATCCTTGTGGTTGAAGCGGATATTTAGTTGAGAGATTAATTCTCCAAATATTGCTTGGGGTTGCGTGACCGAATGGTTAACGCGAGCGCGTTAGATCATAAGGTCTGTCATTGAGTCAAATGGCATGGTTTCGATTCCCCGCTTGTACGTGACAAGACGTAGTGTCCAACCTCATAAGTTTTCCCCGGGTTTTGCGGTTTCCTCCCACTTCTAAAGATCCTTAAGCGAATCCTTTACATAAAATTAAACCATGTTAGTCCCGAAATCTCCCTCTCTCTCTCTCTCTCTCATAGGTGTACCAGCCAGGAAAACGGGTTTGCGGCAGTTAAAGTTTCAAAATTTTCTCCCGACTTTCCCGTCTCCGTGGACTCTGAATGATTGGTTGGTATTCGAGTCATCTGCCTAAGTAAGGGTACATTAGATCACTTTGAAGTTGCTGCATTCATGGGCTGGAACAGCAAGAAAACGCATTTGCGGGAATGGCCTCCTTCGCCGCTCGCAGACGACCGGAACTACTTTCTGTAAACCGAAATGTTTTCGGGCATTTCAGATTCTGCCCTTCTAACATTCATCGACCCCCCACGCCTCTCGCCGACAGGGATCCCGGACAAGTGGGATGTGACCCTGGGCGTTCTAGTTGAGTTTTTTTTAACACCGTCGACATATGATATTTCTCTAATCCATCAATTAATTAGCCTGCACGTGTACAGGTCTTTAGCACGACGGTGGCCAGTAATCAGCCGGGATCGAACCCACACCACTTGATTCAATTAAAGCGGACGTTAACCTAATCGTCCCCCTATTGACTCATCCTGGGTTGGCACTGGTGTAGGCCTTCAGACCTGGCAAGAAAAAAGGTGTAGTCATTCGGATGGTACAGAAAACTGAGGTCCCGTGCAGAACCCTTGACATAAAAGTAGGCCGTAGCGTCGTTGACTGGTTAAATTTCCCCTCATAGCGCCTTGTGTGTGGCGTATGTCCGTCTTTGTTAACCCAATCGGGGCAGAAGACAAGGGCGGGTATTAAAGACTTGATGATACTTGATATATTTGATACTTTAAAAAATGGGAGCCGCCGTGGCCGTGGCTAAGTTATTCGTTGACTAGGGGCAAGTGGTCCAATCCCGTTGTTGATTTCGAAAGTTCTCTGTGATTTTCCGGTGAACACTTTGACGTACATTTGACAGTTGGAATTCGATATAAGAGGAGGGCGTAGCGGCGTATGTCCGTCTTCATTAGCGCAGTTGGAGCAAACTCGTAACAGGTTAAATCTCATTTTACTCCCTTTTATTTCATGTATGCAAACTGGTACATAGAAGAGGTTGATTTATGACATCATGAATCACATCGATATTAACTGAACAAAAACAAGCATATTTGCATTTCATTAAAACAGCGATTGATTATATTTACGGTCACTTTTATCATGGTCTTCAAGTCAATGAAACACGCCACACCGCCTGGTTAGGTTAGGGCGCCACGGTGGGAATGTTTCAGAGACAATAAAACAGAGGTCGGATTCAATTTAAAGATAAATTTATTTTCCTCAACAACCCAGTATTTTAACTAAACAGGCCCGGGATTTCCCCACCAACCCAATATTTTAACTAAACAAGCCCGGGGTTCCCCGCCAACCCAGTATATTTATTAAATAATCACGGGGTATCCCCCACCATCCAGCATTTTAACTAAACAATCCGGTGTTTCCCCCACAAACCCAGCAATAAAAGCACTATCAATAATCGGTATTTGGAACTTGTGGTATATTCTACTGATATCTTTCCGCTACTCTTGGCCTTAAATCTCTCCACCAACTCAGCATCTTGATTAAATAAGAACGGGTTTTCCCCACCAATCTAGTATTTGAATATAATAAGCAATCAACCCAGAAAGAGCTAAATCTCTATTCTGTGGCACCCAGTAATGGACACAAATAGGTCGCAACACATAATAATGTATTATGAATATATATAACCTGATTTACATTCAATCGTTTCTATCATACTGTAATTTATAATCAGTTATGTTTGGCAAAATACGCGAAGGGTCTGAATTTAAAAGGTGATAATCTTCTACGTGGGATATATTTAGTCTCCTTCATCGAGTCCCTTAATGCAAATGGTACCCGAAGCATTCTACACGCGATTCAAGTGCCAA